TACGGGAATGAAAAGATTTTTTTGTCTCCAAGTCTTACGGTTTAGGAGTTTTCCAGAGATCAAGGTCCAAAAAGGACCCTGAACGGCGTCCCAGGATTTTTTAATATACTTCAAGCTGGAGAGTTCGGTTTGTTTTATTTTAAACTAGGCATCTAACTACATCGACTGACCGGCGCCGATTTTTCAATTAAGCCTTTATTCTTTTCCAGACAACCAACAACCTCCGAAACCCGAAAAAGCCTTCCGGATTTTCTAAAAATCCTCAGTTTGACAAAAAACTAAGACCTAATTCAAAACTTATTAAATTTAGGAGGGTTGNCAAAACTCGACGCCTGTCAGACCATGTAGTTTCTTTTCCTCTTTTAAACAAAAAAAGAATGAACTCTCTACGACAAACCGCTATTAAAAATCTTGGGACGCACTTCAGGTGTACCTCTTATATAGCGACAACGCTGTATGAAATAGTCGATTTTATGACTTCTGGGAAAATGCCTGTAACTTTTTGATGCAACGTCATACAGAGTTGCACGAGGTCTTATTTTGATCAGACACGTTTGCTCTAGAAAGCTGTGTTTTCACAAAAATTTTAATTGCAAAAGTATCCAGGAAAAATCCATTATTTGAAGACCCGTTTTTTCGAGGCTCTTAGAAAACTTGCTCGAAATCCCGGAAAAATCACTTTTGTAACCAAAACCAATACAGATTCTGGAAGTAGACACTTTAGGCTACCTTTTCATGTGTGTATCTCAAAACCGATTTTTTGACCGAAAATCACCATTTCTGAGGGGGAGGGGCCTTAATTCCGAATTTTCCATTTTGTATGTGTTATCTGACACTAGTTTCTAGTTTTCACAATGGATAATAAAGGTTTTACTTATGACCGCTAAAAAAACCATTGAAATTTCGAAAATCACACATCTGAAAGTTGAGGTACCATAAATGATGATTAGGATACTAATATTGACATTAGGAACTATTTAGAGCAGACAAATGTGCATATGCAGACTCCAGTGAATACTGAGGACAGGTATTGGCGAATGTCGTAGGGGTATTGACGAATGTCAATTTGGCGAATGTCGTGTGGACGGACAGTCGCCAATATGGCGAATGTCTATTGGCGAAAGTTGAATTGGCGAAACGCGGTCTTACTTTTAGTTTAGACTGGGTTTTGTATTTATTCTCCATTTAAAAGCAGATCATTAATAAGTTATTTAGCAGTTTTTAGAATTGTAAAAGCTGTTAACTGCGATTCAATTCTGCAGGGTTCATCGAAAAACCGAATTAGATCAACGTTTTGCTAGATCCTCTAGAGAAAATTGAAATCTTGCAATATCTTGAATATATATGATAAGAAAATAGAATATTATTTTACGTGTCATCTAAAGGATTACAATTTTGTGGAAAAGTCATTGTAGTCATATAATTTTTTCTTCTTTTTTTCTACTATTACAAAAAAGGGCTTGATGTAACCTCACCAGAACCATTACCATTAGATCATAAATTATTAAAATTAAAAAATTGTGTTATATTACCTCATATTGGTAGTGCAGAAACAAATTGTCGAAAGAAAATGGTTGAAATTAGTATTCATAATTTAATAGAGTATTTTGATAATAAATCAATGATTAGTCAAATTAATGTCAATTAAATATTATTGTTACAGTTTAATATACTATGTTTTAAAATTATTTTTTGTATTTGAAAACATATTTAGAAACATTTTAATAATAAAATAACAAGAGAAAATAAATATTTAGTTCTATAATAAGATGTAAGAGAAATCGCATGATCAATGATTAAACTGAATCTTGACCTGTTATAGCTATTCATGTAGTTAACCTTGTAAAAAAGTAAAATTTCTAAATTCTCTATTGTTAAAGTTTAATATACTATATTGTCATATTACTGTTGTGGTTATGTCTGATTATTGCCAGAAGTAGAGTAATTCGAGTTTACACAATTTTGAACGTTTGTTAATACATGGAATATCCACTATCAATCGTTATCTAGGTAAATTATTTTCAGATTTTCCAATGTTATCAATCTAATCAAATGCTTATTTACCAATTTTCCAATTAAAGTACTCCCTACCGTCACTAATAATTGACCTGGCTCCTTGTTGTTGTCGTTGTAAATCTTTTTGTTTCTTCTACGCTTTTTTGAAGTTGTCATACTTTGCTTGAATATCAATGTCCAGATTGTAAGCCATCAGAATTTCGTGTATTCTATATCATGATCAGTATTTTATTACGATAAACCTTAGATAATATAGGCTAATCTCGATTTATTATCGTTATGGTTATGAATAGTGTAGGAATTGTATATTTAGTTTAGTTATTCCATTGAAAGTGATGTTTTAATTTTTCAATTTATCACTTAATATACTAGCTACAATAAGAGCTAATGATGGTATTCATTCTTCATTGTACTTATGTTTTTCTTCTATATCATCATACACTTTATAGTTGCTCATTCGTCTTTGCAGACAGTGTGGTCTTGACCTGTCCTTTGTTACTCAATGCATGTGTTACGATTATTCGGACGGTAACTCTTCCTTTCAATATATCATTCTGTTTTATAGTTTTGTATCGCTAGTATAAAATCCTGACCATCATCCGCTTCTGTCTTAGCAAATGCGCTGTCGATACTTTATAATGGAGAGATGCTGATTCCTCCTACTTTGACATAGTGTTTAGTACTTGCTGAAAAAATTCAGTGGTTAAATACTCTTTTAGTTTCGTGTATGCATTAGTCATCATAAAAAATAAACGAAGTTAAAATATACTTAGCAAAAGTCAGACAATTGTTTGATAGTGAAAAAGAAATAACTTGTAAGTATTTTTCCTCCACATCAGAAGAGTAACAGCATCTATTTTCAGTTATTCGGTAAAGCAAACTTCCAACTAAAATTTTACTTTTGTTCAATTGTTCTTCGTCGGGTAATAAAAAATCCTTAATAATTATTCGGCACTTTTATTTTGTCGAGCAGTTAAATATTTTCACTTATCTACCTAAAAGAGTTTTTACAGGGACTACTTCTATCTTAAACTTAATTTTTATTTCGTTCAAAGTGTAAAAACATACAATAACAATTTCTTGTCAAATATTATTTTGGAATCAGCTCTCTTAGTGGATACACCCCCAGCCCCTTCCCCCTATATGTGCCTTGAAACTTTATCAGTTTGAAGAGAGGATACCTGACTACATATATTCCTAAGTTCGTTCGATAAACTGATAACCATTCACAGCGTTATTAATTACTTCACTTTAAATTTTAATTTCAGTTCATCCTAATATACTTTTAACGGTAGCAAATCTTTTTTCGTAAATTATCCAGATTTAGTGACGGTCACAGTTTTTTCACTCTCTAATCTCTCTCACAAAAAAAACGTTTATCTTCCTGCTATAAATTCTAAAAAGCATAATAAAACATGTCCCTCACGTGTCTCTCAACTCTAAATCTGAAAAGCATAATAAAGTGTGTTCTTCTCTTATCGAGAAAAAGAAAAATTTTTCATGATGTTTTCACTATGTCAATAACAAATGGTATCACATATCTGAGCAGTTCTCACGATTTCTTTGAGAAGAGTTGTTAAGAAAAACGCAATTAACACAATCAAAACTTATTTTGTGTTTTTCTTAAGACTGCTTTTTACCTACAAGGCTTTCGCCACGTGCAGGAATTCTCGGTAACGGTACACCAGAGAAAGAAATGTTTTTGGTTTTGTAGATGACGGAAAGATGAATGAAGCAAGTAAAGGCGATCTTTGTAATTAGCAACAACGGAGCAACTACAGATGTTGATCGTAGAATGTGAGTGTATATATACATAAAATGTATGGATGAATAGTATAGTGCTTAACAATTCACAGGAAACGTCGAGTAATTAGTACACTTTTTTTCTTATTCAGTTTTCGTTTTGTTTATGACGCCGACGGTAACTAAGAGGATCGAAAAAGATAACTACCGTCAATAGCAAAAATATTCACCTGAGTAAATGTTTTTTACTTTCTTTCTGCTTTCTAACTGTGGACATTCACATATAAATGTATTATGGGCTGTCGGCACAACAAAGTTCATCGAGCGAATGATGTGACCCATGTTCAGGATTTGACCGTAGGTTTGCGTCAAATTCATGTACCGCTACCGATAGGAGCACGAGTTGATCTAGAGACATTCACACGCATTTGGTTACAAGTTGGTGATGACGACGATGAGTGGCATCAGGTTCGCGCGCGACTAACTAAACTTGATGATGAAATGCTCATATTTAACCATCTAGAAGAATGTGTTGACTATCTGCAACATGAGCATGTTAAGAAACTCTATTTGATAGTGTCCGGTAAAGATAGACCGAACGAATATGGACGACAAACCATTATTGATGCTCTCAGAGACCATCAGCTGACAGATTTATATGTTAGTTATATAAGACGTGTACGATTTGGCCATCAATACATTTCTATATATGGTCAATTTGATGACGGTAATGATCCTCGCCATGACGATGAAGGACTATCAGAGCAAATGGTTGTCTTTGGTTTCACACATAGAAAGGAAACATCCATCAGTAATTTGACAGATAGTCAGGTACGTTTTATATGGTTTCAATTGTTGCTGGATATTTTGCTTCGACTACCACGTAATATGGCTGATATGAGTGATATGGTTGACGTGGCTCGTGCTTATTATGATACAGATCCTGTAGAATCAGACAAAATTAATGAATTTGAGCGTACATATCGATCATCGCAAGCCATCTGGTGGTATACAAATGATTCATTTGTTTATCGTCTACTTAATCGAGCCTTTCGCACGCAAGATATTCGGATCATATTCGCATTTCGACTGTTTATTTGTGATCTATTCACACAGCTAGCACAGGTGGCACAGGTGGCACAGGTGGCAAAAGAGACAACACAAACAGCGCCCTTCACAGTTTTTCGTGGTCAGTTTATACCCATCGACGAGTTAGAGACAATAAAAAACAATGTTGGTGGTCTCATTTCAACTACAACGTTTTTATCAACTACGTTAGACTTATATGTAGCATTCATTTATGCTGGCAATGGCTCACGTTTACCGACTCATGCTTCAGTTGTGTTTGAAATTATCGTAAATAATGCTGGCAATGACAGTCAACTACTGGAACGGCCATATGCCTTGATTGCTCAGTACAGTGACAAACAGGACGAAAGAGAATATCTGTTCTCAATGGGCTTTATGTTTCGAATCATTTCTGTAGATGAGTACGGCTTGACATGGTACGTACGTCTACACGTCGAATGTGAGGTTGAACAACGTATGAAAGAACTGAGTGCTCATTTGCGACGTGATATGATAGAATCTACCACTGATATACTGACGCTCGGTGACTTTTTGATTAAAATGGGAGAACTTGAACAAGCGGAACAGTTTTTCGGACTCATGCTTAATCTGCAAGTGCCTGACGACATTAATAACGCTTACCTCTATAACAGTATTGGGTTGCTGCATATCGATAGAGGTAATTTTAATATGGGTAGGACATTGTTTGAACGCGCTCTAGCTATGCTAGATGGAAATGAACCTCATGATCCGTTTATGGTCACTATTCTTAACAACCTTGGCTTGGCCTGTCTTAATCAAGGACAATATACCGGAGCACTCAAATATTTCAAACGTGCAATTAAAAATTCGCTATCCGAAAATACAAACGCAAGTATGTATTCAAATATGGGTTCGGTCTATCAGAGGAAAGGCCAATATGTTAAAGCTCGTCGTTATTACCGACGGGCATTGGCAATTGAACAAATGTATTCGACATATTCACATTTTAATTCGACTAGTACATATATCAATTTAGGGGAGTTAGAAAATGAATTAGGCAACTATACTGAAGCACTAAATTTGTTCGAACGAGCTTTAAATATCTACCAACAAAATTTACCACCCAATCACCATTTACTTGCACATCCTCTGAATAACATGGGTATGATATACAGTGAGATGAACGATTTTAGCCGAGCTTGTGATTTATGTGAACAAGCACTGCAAATTCTAATGACATCATTTCATCGTAATAAAGATGAACATCCATTAGTGATTGCAACACTTAATAATTTGGCCACAATACAGTTTGAACAAAATGACTTCCAAGCTGCTGAGGCCACATTTCAACGGATCCTTAAGTTAAAATTGACTATTAATCAGAATACGTCGACCACCGACCCATCGTTGGCTATAACATACAACAATTTGGGTATGGTTCAGTTAAAACAAGGTCATTTAGATGATGCATTGGCTAATCATGAGCGTGCGTTAGCTATTGAGTTACCGATTGGCAATGCGAAAGATGTTGCCATTACTTACAATAACATAGGTGGCGTTTATGATGAACAGGGTGATTTTATTAATGCCGAGCGTTTTTACAAGAAAGCTTACAAAACTGCAACCACTGTTTTGCCGGCTAAACATCCAAGCATTCAAATGTACATGAAACACTTTAAAAAAGCTAGAGCAAAGATGGTGCAAAATGCTAAAAATGATCCATCTGAACCTTGAATATAAATAGCATGATGGAAACATGAATAACTGAGTGGATAGTTCCTTGATATTTGATACAATTGATCATGTACACTGTTTTTCGTTTTTACTTTCCTTCTGTCAGTCTGTTGTACTATTATTTATCTTTTCATCTATAGACGTTTACATACATATATATTGTACTCACAGAAACAAAACCGATTAGCAGTTAGTAATGGCCATATAGGAGGTACCAAACGGCACAATAACCAAACTTGAATTGGTTTGGTCACCAGTATCATCACCTCTACCGCAATCACAAAGACTGTATGAAGTGCCTTTCGATAAAATGAAACTCAGTAGCACACAATCTATGGTATTTTACAATCAGCTTCGAAGACAAATTCAGAAAACTGTCAGTTGTTTATATCACTGTAGACCTATATGATCATTATAAGAAGTAAAATATTAGAAAAGAATTTCCAGCGAAAGTAGATATTTCTGCAGGAAATAAATTCTACCTTATTTAGAAGAAAGCCAAGTAAGACTGTTATAATGGGCAATAACACGGCTATGATCTTACTTGTATTGTTACTTTAAATAAAGTTTATATAAAACAAAGAAAGCTTTCGTTGTAAATCCTTGCTTGCGTGCCAACCAAAATATTTTCTGCAGAAAAATGGAAATCCTCACCAAAAAACCTTTTACCTCAGGAATTTACGCAATCACGCTCATTTCTTTTCACTGGGTGTGAAATCGGATCCTGTGATGCAAAGGACGGGGGTTCATAAGAAAGTAAATCGGTCCACTACGATTTTTTTGCGTCCAATAGTCTAGTTTTGTAGAAAATTATTGCTTATCTTATAATTGGGTGTTTTCGAGCTTAAAAGGTTTTCACAACAAAAAATATTGACACTTTAGTTCCATTCTGGGTTCGTACTGGCCCTCCTTGAAAATATAGGCTTTGGAAAAGGAATTTATATAGGACTTGTCTAATAATACAGTAAAACCTCCCATAGTGAACACCTCTCTGAAATGAACACCTCCTTATTATGAACGCTTTCAAAAAGTCCAAAAAATCGATTTTCGCTGGAAATGCACCTCCCTAAAGGGAACATCTCCGTATAGTGAACGGTTTTTTTCAGACCCGATGGTGTTC